GCCCATTTTTTGATTTGTAAAACTAATCTCAATTTAGAAGCGAACATTATTTTGTTTATTTGATGTTTATTTATTTATTTTGAGGGAGTGTGTGTGCATGAGCAGGGGAGGGTCGGAGAGAAGGAGAAAGAGAACCCCAAGCAGGGTCCATACCCAGTGCAGAGTCCAACGTGGGGCTCGATCCTATGATCATGAGATCAGGAGCTGAACCCAAATTAAGAGTCAGATGTTTCACTGGCTGAGCCCACCCAGGTGCCCCTAAGATTATTATTTTCGACTTCACTAGTCATCAGCTATACCATCAATAATTCAATAATTTACTTTAAAGCATTGCATTTATGACTCTTAGCTAATTTAAATGTATGTTTTCACCGGCACAACTTTTTGCTATATTGTATGGCTATTTTCATAGTTCAGGCAGTGACTTCAATATAGTTCTCTCTTTTCTTAATTAGTGACCTGGTACTCAGTCAACATTTTTGTTGAGTATCTTATCCATGAAGGGAAGCAAAGAGGAGATTGTTCTTGCCCTGCAGGAACATCCAATCTAGAGCAGAGGATGTATATGTCAGTGGTGACTCATTTTGGTGGGTCAGGTGCTATGATATGTAGAGGGGAACGCGGAACCCAGACTTGGGGCAGGAGGTGTTAACAAGATGAAAGGAAACCCCTACAGATTTCCTCTGAGATAAAACCTACATTTCACAATCTCTGAAAGCAGGGATTCCATAGTTCTTCCAAGGCATTTTCTTCCTGCACACGCTTTTTGGGGAAAAGCTTAACATGGCCCAAAAATATGTAGTCTGTTACCTCTGACAGAAACCTAAGGTCAGATTCCCTCAGTAATTTGCCACAGCTAATGAAACACTGATATAGGAAGAAACCAATTGGCCAATGAAAACCAATAAAAATAATAGACTGGAATTGGATAAGCATAGGACAAAATGCCTGATGTGAACTGTACTGACCTCTGATTAATCACATGAGACAACTATAAAACCAGATGTTCAAATGACCAAAGGCAAGTATTTAGCCTGATTCATTGTAACTCTTAAAAACCATCCAAGGAGAAAGATCAGTTAGGATCTTGGTATTCACATGCAGTCTCAGCCCATGACAACAATGTGTATTTTCATTCTAAATGCGTGTGATTATGAGTGCTTTACTCATACTATACACACTGGTATTTGTGCTTCTACAGGAGAGTTATCAAAGCCATCAGATGGGTCCCCCATGTTACCAAGAAATAAATTCAGCACCCACGTCTCCTCAAAGATTTTCATTTTATTGCCTCTTCGATTTGTACAATGGATATATCTGTCCATTTGGTGTGGCATACACTATACATCCCTCTCCAGTCATGAAAACTCTACCTGTTTACATAAATGTTTTCCCTCTCATCTCCAGGATAGATGCTTAAGGAAGGGTTGAGTAAGTAAGTTAATGACCTTATTAAATAATACCATTCTATATCAAGAGGGTTGGTTACATTGGTATTAATCAAATTCCTTATTTGTGACATTATCATATTCTTGCATTTAGATGAGATTGATACCTTTTGTTTTTTAATGTTTTAATGTTTATTTATTTTTGAGAGACAGAGACAGAGCATGAGCTGGGGAATGGCAGAGAGAAAGGGAGACACAGAATCCAAATCAGGCTCCAGGCTCTGAGCTGTCATCACAGAGCCCAATGCGGGACTCGAAGTGAGAGCGTGACCTGAGCCCAAGTCGGGTGCTTAACCAACTGATCCACCCAGGGGAAATCCGAGATTGGTACTTTTAAAATAGCTTTGTTTAGGGGCATCTGGGTGGCACAGTTGGTTAAGCATCCAACTTCGTCTCAGGTCATGATCTCACAGTTTGTGGGTTCGAGCCCCACGTCGGGCTCTGTGCTGACAGCTCAGAGCCTAGAACCTGCTTCAGTTTCTGTGTCTCCCTCTCTCTCTGCCCCTCCCCCATTCATGCTCTGTCTCTCTCTGTCTCAATAATAAATAAAAACATAAAAAAAATTTTAAATAAAATAAAATATCTTTGTTTAAAAAAAAAAAACACCCACCAGTGAGATAGCAAACCCAAATGAGTGGTGGCAACAATTCAGAAGGGGCATTGATTTTTTTTTTTAGAATCTTTCTCCTGTGCTTACTGATATTCCTTACCTTGTGCTGTACTCTCCCAGCTTTCCTGGAGTACGATTTAATAAGTTCATGTTTCAGGATACTGAGTAGTTTTTCTTGGCCTGAGTAAATCAATATGGAGGTGCTGAACTTCTGCTCAGTGAGAAAGTTGGTGTTTCAGAGACTTTGTGAACTTGGTGTTGAGAAACTTGGTGTCTTGTCTCTTTACTGAATCACACTCAGCAATGTTTCATTCCATAATTTACCTCATTATCAGCTGGCTGTAGCCTCCTCTTTCTAAAACACGTATTTTTATGAATGATGTTGCAAAATGCCTTTTTAAGAGCTTTATCACTGAGATATTTACATGAACAGATGCAAATGTATTTTTAGTATTAGACCAAAAGGTTTTTTTTAATCTTTTAAGGAGACTTCAGGATAGCGTGTTCTTCAAAATAGCAATGATCGAAAAATAACACTTCACATGGTGTATATGAGAACTTGTTGCACCAGTTAGAAATTGTCAGAATTTGGGGCACCTGGGTGGCTTAGTCGGTTAAGCGTCCGACTTTCGCTTGGGTCATGATCTTGCGGTTCGTGGGTTCGAGCCCCGCATCAGGCTCTGTGCTGACTGCCAGCTCAGAGACTGGAGCCTATTTCAGAGTCTGTATCTCCCTCTCCCTCTGACCCTCCCCTGCTCACACTGTCTCTCTCTCCTAGAAATAAATAAAAATATTAAAAAAAAAGAAATTGTCAGAATTTACTAAGGCTGGTAAAACATTGCAGTCTCAGAGAAATTTGCATCATTGCTTGACACTGAAATTTGCTTTTATGATATAATTTTAAATTAATTCATTCCCATATTTTATTTGCTTTTGGCAAGTTTAAATATTGTGCAGTCTTAGATTCCTAATTTGTGAGCTTACATTGGAAAATGACACCTGTAATGAAGAAATACTTGATTGCCATTTCTTTCTTGACATGAATGTCTTCCTCTGAAGGAAAGATCAAGTTCAATAAGCTATAAAGTGGTTCTCAGAATTATTTGAACCATGGACCAGAGCATTCACTTCTTCTCTGTTTCTTCCTATCGTAGAGTATTAAGAATAGAGCAAATAAATACATCTAGAATAAAGTGGAAATGCTTCTGTTCCATGCTGGTGTAGAGTATTTTGCCTTTGGGGACTAGGATTCTTCAGTGCATCTAATAATGAATATTCCCAGACAATGCTTCTCAATGTGTAAGCCACAAACCATCAGCACCTGCATCATCTGGGAACATGTTAGAAATGTATATTCTCAGGCCCTGCTCCGGACTACTGAATCAGTAGCCTGTGCTTTAACAAGGTCTCCAGGTGATTCTAACACTGACTGAAGTTTAAGAACCACTGTTGTGATACTCTGCTGTTCAGAGGGTGGGCCATGAATCAGCAGGAGCCCCTGGACCCTTATTAGAAATGCAGGACATCAGGGTGTCAGAATCAGGACCTGCATTTTAACAAGGTACCCAGGTGATCCTTATGCATATTATAACCTGACAACCACTGATCTAAGGGTTAAACTAGGAAACTTACCATTGGGAGAGTGTCCTCTATTTGGAGGCATTTTGGATGCTGTCAGAATGGACCTCAATAGATACTTTACTTTACATTGTATATTGCCTCTCTGTTCCCTCTGGAATAAAAAAGGGGGAAGAGATGTGTAAACCTCTTGGCTGCGATGTTCAAAAATACATAAAGGCACACTGGGTCTACACTATGAGATGTAGCATAGCTGGTATCTGGGTAGCAGAGTTGTTATCTGTGTAATAAATCATATGTGTGTATGTATGTATGTACATGTCCACATGCCTGTATACATGTCACACGATGACCCAGAAATATCAGGTGAAAGCATTGTTTTCAGTTCTAAAGTTTTTTGAAAATTCAATTTTCCGATTCACTTTTGATGTGCAGACACATCTATGTTTTCTGTCCTTTTTGTTTGTTTTTGTTTTGCATCCTTTTATCTTAGATTACTTTTGAGCTTCGAATTTAATTTTTCTCTAGGAATCTTTTTAGAGAGCCTTCTTTCCAGTCAAGGAAGTTGCGAACTTTCAAGGCTCCATCTCCTCCAGATAGGTAATTGTTCTAATGCTAGGGAATATCAGTAAGACAAAGCCGTCTATGGAAGTGATGAAGTTTGCCTCTTTCCAAGGATTTGGTCTTTTACACCAGCTGCTGGTGAATCCAGTGGCCTTGGAAGACAAGAGTAGTTGACCAAGAACAATCTTATTTGTAAAAATATTTTATCATGGAAGACACATGAAAATTAAAGAATTTTAAAAAATCCTTTGAAATCTTTGCAACACGGACACCCCCATATGTAAATAGGACTGTCACTCGGTGTTTGTCCACAACTAGAGCTCCAGATGAACCAGTGGCGTGCGCAGTGACAGGAACAGCTGACTCATTAGCAGAGAGCAGTGAAAGGTAATTAACCCTGGGAAAAGTACAGCTGCCGTGCGGGCTGTTCCTTTCTGTAGGATCTGATTAGAAATTAGTGTTAAACCACTGATTCTTTTTTTTTTTTTAAAAGACGTTCACTCTCAGGTGTGTCCCTAGAAAAGGTTCTCAAATGTATTTATACACAAAAGGGCCCAAACCTGAAAAGCATTTTCTGATAACGGTAAACACCTGTTCTTCTTGTTCTTCTTGTTCTTTTGAATGACTATTCTGACAATTCAAGATTGGTAGTATCCCACCCCATACTCTAATGGTCAGAATGTAAATTACTCGAAAGGATTGTTTTATATAGTTAATAAGCTGTAGATAATTGCCATTTAATTAAGTTTTCTCTTTTTTTTTCTTTCCGTTTTTCCTCTGTCGATGCTTCTCATCAGTAGCAATGGAAAGTCTCCAGTTGAAATCCAATGAATATTAGGGAAGGTAAGTGAAGACTATTTTAAAATAAACTTTGCCCTCAAAGAGAAAACATGCCTAACTTTTCAACCACCTTCAAAAACCTGAGAAGTTCAGGAACTTGGTTTTAGGGGACAACCAAAGATGTTCCATTTTCTTAGTTTTGGTATCATGATGGTAATTTATGTTATTTATATTTTTTTGAGGGGGGAGTGCATAGACTTACTCAACCTGATTGTGACTTCACATGGCTCAAATGAAGAGCATTAAAACTTGAACCTGGCCAGAATTCATACATGAAGCTAAAGAATGTGGTCAACAGAATAATGCCACCACCCACAAAGGTGCCTGTGTCCTTATGTGGTAGGAGGAGGGTGACGAAATTAAGAACTTAGTGATGGGGAGATTATGCTGAATTATCCAGGTAGGCCCAGTTAATCATATGTTCCATGAGAGAAGGGTAGGAGAATGAGTCAGGGAGATGCCACGTAAGAAAAACTCAACTCATCCCACTAATGCTGGCTTTGGAGGCGGAGGAACAGAGCCCCGAGCCAAGGACTTCAGCCACCTCTAGAAGCTAAAAGTGGAACGGCTCTCGGTTTACAGCCAGCAAGAAAACACGGACCTCAGTCCTGTAACAGCAAGGAACTGGAGCCTGCCAACAGCCCAAATGAGCAAGAAAGCGAATTTTTTCCTGCAGCCTCCAGAAAGGAGTGCAGCCTGATTTGATTTGAGCCCAGTGAGACTGTACCAGACCGTGGGCCTGCAGAGCTGTAGGAGGACAGACCTGCATTGTTTTTAAGTCTGTACATTTTTAGAAATTTGTTATAGCAGCAATAGAAAACTAATACAGGAGAGAAGCCAACCAATAGATGGGATATGTTTTTCAGCTGTTAACATAAATCCAGGGAAGAATTTCCTGCGTGTGAATGGAGAAGAGAAACATTTCTCGAGAGGCCAAGGCTGGTAGTCTTTAGGAATTTGAATATTCATTTCGTAGACCCTAATGATGGTTGCCACCAAGTTGAAGAATTCTGTCTTCTGCTTTGCAACACTCCCCTCCCTCCCTCAATAGACACGCAAACTCCTCATGTGACGCTTTTGTAAAACACAGTGCCTGTGTCATTCAAAGTGTAAATGAGTACCTAGCTTCTTTGGAATGGTTAGGGAGTCTGCGTTTAGCTGAGCAAGGGTGAGAAGTGGAATATCAGTGGATGGAAGGCAAGGTCCCTGCTGCGGAAAAAAAGGCTGACTTGACAGTCCCAAAGTAGGCTGAGCCTCATGCATAACAGCAGATGGTTATCATGGTGAGCCTGGTTCTGCCTCTTGCTCCCTGTGTGAACTCAGGCTGAGTAAGGTAGTAAGGTCACTTGGGTTCCTTACTTCACATGTAAAAGCGGTAACACCTCCTCAGAGGCACATCATGCTGACTAAGAAAGAGGGTGTGTGAGTCCTTACACTAGTGCCAGTCATGTGATAAAAGTTCAGTGAAGATGAGCTCAATTTATTTAGAAAACACCGTGTCACTTTACTATTTTGATTTTAAAAAAACCAAGTAGATTGTGTTTGTCTTTCTTCTTGGCTGGTACCATTTTATCTCCAACACAAAAGTGACCGGTTTAGAGTGTATGGGGCACCCTTGCTTAAAATAAAATGTTTGGTTGCTTCATAGTCACGTTGTCCTGTCATACATTGAATAAGAAAAGTGAGGGATAAAAACTGGGAACTGGAAATCATTTAAACAAATCAGAAATCTTCCTCAATTGCTTTCTTGCCAAATTTGGAAAACTTAGAAGAGTATCTTCTAATTTTACCATTGGCTTTTCTTCTCACAAGAGGGCCAATTTAAATTATAAACTATAGTTTTTCATATAAATAGATGAAAGTAGATATTGGGGGAATCTGACCATAAATCCTGTTACACTTCATGTCTGCTCTTCTTTGAATTTTGGGAGCTGACATTTTCAACATAAAGGAAGACAAAATTATAAAGTCTTCTTAGCTGGCATAGCAATCAGAAAAAAAAATCTATAGAGTCCCTTATGCTGTGTGTCTGGGATGTTTTGTATGCAAATACAATTAATAAGATATTATCTCAAGCATCTGAAGAATATTCTTTTTGACTTAATTCAGTAATCATCTACTGAGCACCTACCCTGGCCACGGTGCTCTGTTGCAGTGAAAGGTCAATAAGACACAGCCTCTCACTTCCATGAGCTTATACTGACACAGAGAAGATCAAATGGACACAAGTGAGATAACAGTAGCACAACAGACAGATCAAGATGAAGGTGCCATCAAAACACTATTGGGATGCAGAATTCTGTGAGATGCTGTCACCTGATCCACCACACGAGTAACAAATCTCTTTTCTGCAGACAGATTCTACAGTTCTGACACTAAAGGGGACAGTTCCTTTGAAAGTTACAAACAAAATGAACAGATTCTAAACATTTCATTTTAGCTCTTTAATTTTGACCATTTAGTCTCCTTTGACCCTTGTGTGACTATACAAAATTATGGCTTTAATACATTGTTTGGCCAGGCAAAGTACAATTCCAACGATTTGTATCTTTTCAATTGGCCTTTGGGGACATTTATTTATTTTAGTCAAAGTTCTCTGACTCTCTCTAGGGATGAATTCTTCAGGAAACATCATTTTCGAGAAGCTTATCCAGTTTGGTCCCATTGTGCCTTCTGCCTCCCTCCATAATCATGCTTTCCACATCTCACTGGAGTCCTCAATTTCCTTGTTTGTACTTGTGAGGACAAAAGTTGTACTTTATCTATCTCTTCATGCTGACTGTTTAGGACAGATCAATCCGATAGGCTGATACTCAAGAATTGTGTATTAAGCCAATAATAAGTAAATTTCTTCAGGAGAAATATACTTATATTAAAGGAATCTATATTAAATTAAGCACTGCATTGAGAATAAAATCCAAGGATTATTCTGCAAAAGTCCAGTGCCCCATTGGGCTCAACAATGGAGGTTCATGTCACTTTCTCTGTAGATTTCAGTAGATTCTCCCATTCCATATTTTATAGTCAGATAATGAAGATAAATAGCTCTATTTTTAAAATTTAAATGTACAGAATACAGCAAAGATATTAATGAAAAATAGTTACTGTTGGGAAAAACAGCAGACTTGTGGGGAAAATTTCTTTAAAAATCTCTTAAAATGGATCAAGAAAATAGAACATGTCTAAGCATTATTATAGAGCATAGTGTATAACAATCTATATAATCAAATAGATTAAGTAGAAAAAATTCCCTTTACATAGCATAAAGCCTCATTTTTGAATCAACAAGTGACCTTTGAACTTTATTAAACATGTTTTGACATTATAAGGTTGTTTAGTATAGAGTTACTCAAAATAGCACATTTAGTTGCAACACAAGCCTTGAAGTTAAGTGGTTAGTTTAATAAAACAGAGTTTCCATAGTTACCACAGGCAAACAGAGGATAACTTTTATTTCTTTGTCAGTCAGGAAGGAGCTTTAGGAAAAAGATTAAGCAAACAGATCCAAGCAGGTTCATTATGTGGGGTTCACACCTGATTGGCTTTTTAAAAGAGGGAACTCTTGATATAACAGGAAATTAAAGTTCTACCCACTAAAATGTATAGCAGCACGTTAAGAAATTTGAACACTCCCTTTGGGCATTTCCAACTCAATTTTGAGTCAGAAGGAAAGCTAGTTTAATAAGATATCTGCATGAGATGAAGTTTTGTTCATGGTGTTATGTTAATAAACCATGTCACAAACAAGTGGGTAGAAATGACACTCTAGAAGACAGCGGCGCCTTGACCTACGCGACAGATCAGACAATCTTGGGGCTGACATTTTGTTGAAATGTTTGATGAAGGGCAAATGGACACCCATGCTGGTGAAAACGCCTCGTGTGCCAGCGTCATTGTTTTCTCAGTTTCGTCTTGAGATGCGCTCTCTCTGAGAGCGAATGGAGGTCACTTTCCGTGTCGTCCTCTGCTGCGTCTCACCCAAGGAGTTCTTCCCAGTTGACTGTTGAGAAACAAAATGATGTGGTTTCCAGTATCTCACCTTCAGCTCCCGAGCCTTTAAAGCAGCAGTGATTAACAGGACTTTTACAAAGTTTCTATGTAGTTACAAGGACAGTTTCAATCTTCTGTCATTTTTTTGCATTAGCTATGATTATGCTTTTACCACAAAAATGCATTTGTTTTAAAGGTAACAATACAGACTAGGAGAATAGCTTATGTTTCATCTATATTTATCAGCACTCACTGTACATTTGTGTCTTCATTACCAGGAAATATTAAGGGACATTGTGCCATCTATTCCTGTTTACAGTTTATTATGCAGAGATAGGAAACACTTAGCATGTAAAATGAATGTAGAAATTATTCCTGGATAGAAACACGGACATTTCCCACTCGTTGGCTCTTTCTCCTCCATCACCGGATCAGAGTGTAATTGTCAGTAATCAGGCCTGCTTGCTGCTGATAAAACCACTCTGAATGCTAGCAGCCTTCTTTGTGTGATGACTCAATTATTCCAGAAGTGCCTCATCAAATCTGCCCCATCAGCTGGGCTAATAAATAAGGAGAAGAAACTGGCCCCCCAAAGCAAATTATAAATCCATTTGCATTAACCATTTCGCTGGTCCATGATCTAGGCAGAAAGAAGCATGGCAGATTGTGTTAAGCTTATTTGAATATGTTTATAATGTTTACAGCATGCAACTTTTTTTCCCACAAGGTGTTGGAATTATCAGTCATGAATGGCATCTAAATGCAGTTATGTTAATTGCAGTGAGGCTTTAAGTATCTTTGAGGGCTATTTTGTTACTTAAATCAGGTGAAAGCGAAATCCTCTTGCAGGGAGATATACGGGTGTCGCACAAGTTACTGGCTTTGCTTCCCAGTTTTAGGAGAAAGGGCTTGTGTTTAATTTTTGCAGGTACTGGAAGGACGAATACAAACACTATAATGCCTGCTAGTACAAGTACAATTCCTTTATATCTATCACAGTGGAAACCAGAGGTGATTTTGATGCTCTGTGTGACTTCAACAATTTGCAAAGCAAAAATCGCATTTTCAGGGAGGAGATCAGAGTTGCCATAGCCCTCCTTGGACTTAAAATTCCTTGAAAGATTCTAGAGGGGCAGAGATTTCAAAAAGCCAGGCAAACCAGTAAAAATCAATTAAATCCATTCATGGAAATTTTGTACATGGACACATCTTATGTTTATCCTTTTAACGTGCAAACTATGCTGGGTAATAAGAAGGCTTTTTTATATTTGAACTTCAGTGATCTGTCAGGGAAGCAAAAAATGTTCAAAATGGATCGTGAAAGGCAGTCTGGTTGTTAATATCAAAGAATTAGTCTCGTTGAAGATATAGTGATTTAATACCCAGACATTCTCCCTGAAAGTGAGCGATACCATTGACCCACTTTGGCGTGGGGGCTGGTTTTTCCGCCGAGTAGCTCCAGATTTGCTGGAGCTCTTTCTGCCACCACTACAGTGATCAGGAGAGGAATAGGGGCTGATGATAAGAGGAAATCTGGTGGCCAGTAAACAGCATTTACCTTTGCCTAAAACAACTTAGACAAAACTCACTACTTCTCTTCATTTGCTCCAGCCAGTTAAGCTGGAGCTTATGATATTAAGCTAATATCAACCTAGAGAGCTGAGCAGAAGGAAATCCTCTTTGATGGTGTGAATATACAGTGGCGATAGGCTCACATATTTTTGGGGCATTGATTTTGAAATACATAACCTCTATGATGGAAAAGCCAATTGTATAGCTAATTGATTAGACATTCCAGATTAAGGGCTTTAGAGTTTCATTAGGGATTTTGTGGATCTACATGGCAAATGGGAAAACAAGGAATTTGTCCAGGTAACAATATCATTAAGGTTTCAACAAAAGTTGACTCTAAGCTAAATTATCATGCTGATTTATAGAAACGTAAACATGGAAACTTGGGACTGTAAAGGATTTGCCTTAGAGTTCAAAAAAGATAACTGAGCCAGGATACCCCCTTTCTCATCATTCCACCTAATGAATAATTAGTGAAGACCCAAATCTTTGAAAAGTGATTTAGGAGATTAACGCTATTGGAAGTTGTGGAGACATGGCCTCAAAGGATGGCAGTGCTAAGCTAACTATGCTGGCATTCTTCTGGCTTTATTTTACTCTTTAAGAGGCTAAGTCAGAGAGTGGTCTGTCCCTGCAGCTTGTGTTAACATTCCAAACTTCTAAGAGGACCCAGCCATACATTTCCATCCTTACTGAAATACAATGGTCTGGTTCCATCAGGAAGCAAATTCCAAAAAGAAATTGGCAGTGGTAGTGAGCTCCTATTACTTACAGGGGTACAAGTTTAATATACCTTTTGTATTAAATTTATTGGTCCTCTCATCAAAGTTTTCACTTTAGTTGGGAGGTTTTATTCTTGTTTTTTAAATATTACTTTTTTTTTTTTTAAAACCGTAAGTCGATGTGTGGTTCTCTGTTTAAGGATATGGTGGACATATGGGGCACCTGGGTGGCTCAGTCAGTTAAGCGTCCGACTTTGGCTCAGGTCATGATCTCACAGTCTGTGGGTTTGAGCCCCGTGTCGGGCTCCGTGCTGACAGTTCAGAGCCTGGAGCCTGCTTCACATTCTGTGTCTCCCTCTCTCTCTGCTCCTCCCCCACTCACTCTCTGTCTCTGTCTCTCAAAAATAAAATAAAGATATAAATTTTTTTTTTTAAAAAAGAAAAAAGGATACAGCGGACATATGCATCATATTACTTTAGGTCATTCACCCCCCCCCCCAACCACCTTTAAAATATAACCTGACATACCCTTTTAAAAAATCACAGGGCACATCTATTCTATTGTATCTTTGGTTGAAGGGACCGTCTTTTTCAGAAGCAAGTACTCACCCATGAAGCAGCTGTAAAGAACTAAGAGGCCCTAATTATTGGCATATAGTAAAGCAGACAAATGAAGTACTTTGTGATGACTCCATTTAACAAGTAAAGCCATGTCTTAATTAGCGAGCACATTTAAGGACCGTGTAGGCCATTAGGCTACACACACTTTCTGCCTGCCCTATAGTTTTATCTTTTAAGATTGGTGCTTCATAAAAATCAGAGCTTTAATGAAAAAGTGTTCATCCTCGTAGGGGGATAGAACTAATGGTCTTGCAAGTTGTGGGAAGTTGGTCCAGATTCCAGATCTTAAGTTCCAGAATTTTCTATAAGTGCATGAGTAAATCCTGAAGTTATACAAAACGGTTTAAGATCAGTGAAAGACGCTGAAGTATGGCAATTGATAAAAATGAGTTTTCAAATAGGGTGTCTCCTTGATGTAATAATAGGACACTTGTAAGGAAGGCAAGGAACAAATTTCAGTGGAAGATTCCTTTCAGCGTCAGCCACGAGCCTGTTTCCAGGAGCGGGTGGGCGGAGTTATTAACCATAGGCACGTGGTCTGCGGCGCCTCTGCAGGGCTCGAATTTCCCATTTGGATTTTGGTGTACCTGGACTTCTCGAGCCCTTTTGTGTCAATCGTGTTCCTAAACTTCTATTTTGTTGGTGCCCTCCGTGTGCTTCTCCGAGTCGATCTCAGCTGCGCTGCCTGAACTCTCCTCCCCAGGGAGGGAAAAGACGGCAGATGGGGTTAGGGCAGAGGGCTGATGCATCTGACAGCAAACGGCCGGGTTGTTGAGTGGAAGCTGCGAGCGTCAGGAAGCTACTTTTCCCCTGAGAACCAACTAACCACTGAAGAAAGTTGAAAATGAGCCCTTTGAGAAACGCTATTAAAAGTAGTAAAAAATTGCAATTGTGCAGATGATGTGCTGCTGTGTGCTTATTCGGATGCTAATGAGTTTGACATTAGGGAACTCAGAGGGTTTACAGCTACTCCCTTATGTGATTCAGTTCTTTATTGGCAATCTTTGAGAAAATAAATGGAAAATGTATTGCTAATAAATACATAACACGATAGGGTATTAGACAAAAAGCCATTACTTTCAGGATTTAGAAAGAGCTTTGCTCACCAGTGTGACTGTTTTCCAGGATCTTTTGTTTTAGGTTAGAGTATGGCACACAAAAGGGAATAGGCAGGTGGAGAGCTTCGGGACTCTTTCAGAACTGAGAGTGAGGTAGGAGAAGCCAAACACATTTCCAGAGAAAGCTCCCCTCCTTTTATTTTCCTCGGTGGCAATCAAACGCAAACTAAGCATTCCCAATCTCCTGCGCCACTTCTCAGTTCTTACATCATGTGCAGTCATCTGCTGTATCACTTGAGAGAGTTTTATACCTATTTTTCCCCAGGAACTACGGTTGCTGACTTGCATTGAAGAATCGTCTGCTTAATGTCTGGTCAAAGCTTACAAGTGAAACAGAAATCTATGGTTAAAAAGCCAAGCACTTCACAATCTACTGCAAAGGCGGAAACACAGGAAGAGAGGAATCTTCTGCAAGGAAGGTTGGTGGCTTGTGTTGGGCAATACCAAAACTGCCAGATAGAACCACTTGTGATGCGCACTGATGTATGTGCTATTTGTATAAACAGCCCCTCGCTAGGATGCTGAGCACACTAGGCTGAAGTTCAAAGTTTTCGCTCAAAGGCCAAATGGCCTGAAGACAGATTCTGTTCCCAACCCTGGGACCAAATAGAGGTGAAGCAGCTCTGTGTATTATGTCTGGGTGCAGAGTAAACCAAGGGCAAATTGTTTCTATGGAAAGCGGGTTAGAATATTGGCAAATAGCATGAGTAGCATTATATGACAGTCTCATTAAAGAGAGCTCTAAATAACACAAGGATGAATTTTGAATCTCTCTTTTGTGATTTCTTGACTATAGCACTTTCCGAATCTTTGGACTTTTTCTTTTGGTGGTTAAAAGTACCATTAATAATAGAGAGTCCCTTTTACCCAATCTGTCTATAAATTGAAGACACTATGTATACATATATATATACACACACACATATATATTCATTTTTGTCTCTATTACTGATATATATACCAGTAATTTTTATCTCTATTATATATAGAGAAAAACTATATATATATGACATATATGATATATATATATATATCAGTTACCAGAGACAAAAATGAATTTGGCTACTTTTTTTTTTTTTTTGCCTTGGGGGAGTTTCTTTTTTTTTTATTTTTTTATTTTTTTACAAATAGTTTATTGTCAAATTAGTTTCCACATAACACTCAGTGCTCATCCCCATAAGTGTCCTCCTCCATGCCCTTCCCCCCTCCCCCCACATCCATCAGTCCTCAGTTTTTGTCAGCATTCAAGAGTCTCTCATGGTTTGCCTCTCTCCCTTTCCCCCACCATTTCCCCCCTTCTTCTCCCCCTTGTTCCTCCATTAAGTTCCTCCTAATCCTCCTATACGTGCAAACATATGATATTTG